TCGAAAAATAACCTTAAATGAGTTTGTTAAACAGTAAGTTTGATAAAATTCGGTTAAAAGGGTTAGGAGTCATAAACCCTTTTATGGAGCCTGAACATAACAACCAGGTGGTCGTTGTTGAGAGGGAACTAAAATTTATTAGTCATTTGCACATCTAGACAAAGTAATGATCAATTAAATCTGCGAAGTTTCATGAAAGTTCGATAAGTATTATTTGATACTGATAACCCTTAATGTAAAAAAAATATTATCTATCACTTCAACCCTTAATGTAAATTTACATTAAATTTTTTTTTACATTAAGAGTTGTAACAAGGGTGAACCCCCAACCCTTAATGTAAAATATTTTTACAAATAAGAGTAATGTTTACATTAAGGGTTGAAACGCAGCATCTGAGTCTCAAATCACCAAATAAATAAACAATCAACCAGCTCATACAACACAAACACATCCCTTTGTCCCTCCCCCCATTGGCATCCATTCCAAATCTCCAAATTTCAAAATTACTATATAAGCAACACCTAAACTCCCCTCCTCGGTTGCACCTATCCCCTTCTTTTTATTTCGGCAAATACAATAAATGGCCTGGCGGGCCCGTGTGCGACATACGCTTACAGTCGGAAAGCAGACGTAAAATCATAAGGATATGACCCAGACACTGGCAATCAATTTGAAGTTTTAAACGGCTTGGTTTAAACTGTAAACATTTTTGTTTTCACTGAAGTTTGTGAGTTGGTACTTACTGCTTGTTTGTACAAGTGAGTTTAGTAGGCTTCGTTGACATAACCAGTTTGTTTTCGCAAGTAAGTAAGCCAATTAAACATAAACTGCAATCCCTTTTAAGTGTATGTACTTCATATTTTAATGTTTCACAGTTTGTTGTCACTGATATATTCACTGAGTAGATCTATTTAGTCGCATAGCTAAATTCATCTGAGTTGTTTTTACTGAGATTGGTAGCCATAATTCTTTGCAACAACAACAAACGTTTATTTCTCTCTAAGGTCATAGCTATGACATATTGAAGGTACAAATGGAGATTTATGGTGACACGAGGCAGGACATTTTAGTAGATAGTGATATTCGTCAGCTAAGTCATGTTTATTACAGTGACTACAAAGTCTGTCTTCCCGCGGTATATTTTCCCATCGCCCCTTTTCTATTGGAAATCTATGGTTTGTGGATCTTATTTTAGTAATCGGGATACTGAGCCTTTAGGGTAACGATAGCAGATGATTTTCTAACTGGATTTTATGTTTAAGTATTTGGTGTAATACTGCCTTGGGAGAGTTGTTTATCCAACTTGTCCAAGTCTGGCTAAACTGATCAAAGATACGTTGTTTAATAACACATTTTAATACGTTTATATTTGGCATGTATTGTTGGGACCATATAAAACTAAGGCCTCATCCATCAAATAGTCCTTTAACATATTCGAGCCAGCTATAGTTATGGTTACAGGAGTCTGCAAATAATACATTATACATGACAGTACATAATTTCGTTGGTTTATTAATAGTTATCTCAGACCAATATGTCAACATTCTTTGTTTAATGAAATCAGTAAGAGAGGTTCTTCCCAGCTCTCCGTATAACAAGTAGTGGGGGGTGTTTTATTTACCCTTAGTATATATTTTAGGAAATCTGTGTGAACCTTTTCTATCATATCTAGTTTACCAAATCCCCAAATTTCGAAGCCATATGTTAATATAGGCACGATTGTTTGATCAAATATTAATAACTGGCAGTCTATTGGCAAGTCAAGATTACGTATTTTGATATATATAATAAATGCATAGCTTTTCTAGCTTGAGCTACTAACGACATCTTGGCTGCTAGGAAATTTCCAGTTCGTTTAAAAACCAGACCCCAAAGGCTTATATTGATCAACTACTTCAACAACATTATCGCCTATCCTAAATACATTATTGTTCTTTGTTGATCTAAATACAACCACCTTAGTTTTATCAATATTAATATTCAACTTCCATTGTTTACAATATTCATAAAAAACATTCATATTATTTTGAAGGTCACGGGCGTTATCTGCAAGTATAATAGTATTATCTGCATGTAGCAAAATAATAATATTTTTACAGATTCTAACTACTTCATCTTCCGATATAACATCAATACCTTTACATATTTTCTGTTGTAGATATTGTTCAAGGTCATTTAGGTACAAGGCAGAGAGAATTGGCGATAGATTTCCCCCCTGTCTAACTCCAATATATATCACTAGAGAAAAACGATGATTTTTTACCATTAACAACCATACACGACTTTATGCCTTGCTACATGTCGAATATGATCTGGAAACATTTAACTTGTACATTTGTTTTTAATCATTTTTGCCAGAGTCCAAAGCGCCGAACGTTATCGAAGGCCTTAGAGAAATCTATAAATGTACAATATAGTTTCTTTTTGTGTGCCCTGAGGCATTCAACGAGGGAGTGCAATACGAACATGTTATCAACAGTAGAATATCCGTGTCGAAATCCTCCTTGTGAATCTGATAACAAATTATTATTTTCTAGATAATTATTAATTCTTTCACTTAAAATAGAAGCAAACAATTTACCGAGGCAGCTTAAAAGAGTAATGGGTCGGTAATAGTTGGGGACTTTACGGTCACCTTTTTTGTAAATAGGTTTGATCAATACGAGGAGCCATTCTTCTGGTAAGATGCCTGTATCAAATATAATATTAAATAACTGCTCAACAGGCGGTGTGATCCGATAACTGTTAAGACATCTTACACTGGCGTCGTGACTATTTATTCCTTTGTAGATTATACTACAGTCTGTGCGGCTAACTTGTTTATATTGCCCTTTCAGGCATACTCACGCTGTGTGAGCTTTGCCTTTAACTGCTGACGTTAATCCTTAATACTTAATACTGATTATGGGATTTGTCTCCGACGTTGTTTGGTCAAGTGTGTGATCTGCATCGTCATGATTGAGTATTGCTTAAATGGGCCCCCTCGTGATTAAAAATTATTAAACTATTGGTTGGTTTATCTTTGTCAAGGCGCCTTATTTATTTATTTCTTTCTTTCTTTATTCATTCATTCATTCATTCATTCATTCATTCATTCATTCATTCATTCATTCATTCATTCATTCATTCATTCATTCATTCATTCATTCATGAGACTGGGTGATGAGGCTTTACAGTAGCTTAGGAGACGGAACCAACCATTGACACGTATATGCACAGCTCGTTCAGGTAAATGGGGATTAGCGTCTCGTTAGTAAATTATAATATTATGATTATAAGTCTGTTATATGATTCCAGCCACTCACACGTCATGGCTACGTGGTAATTAGCCTTTGGAATTAATGCTCATTCGGACAATGGTTGTCCTCAGTCGGTCACTAACAATCACCAATAGTCGGCAAGCATCAGACAAAGACTGACCCCACCCAGCCTCACGGAGCCAGGCCAGTGTGTAGTGGACCGACATTAGATGAGCATCCTTCTGACCACAGAGTTGTTACTTCATGTAGAAATATACTAGGTTCAACAGACATTGGGTTTACTGTTGGGAACATTACAAACACTTTCATATGAGGCAAGCTGAAGTTTGTATCCATAAACACAGTATTGGAATCCGTCGAGATCTTCGTCGTGATCTTCGTTCAGAGTTCAGAGGAAAGCGTCAGTGACTGTGAAAAGAACACAGTAAGTAATTGTCATTCAATTTAGTTTCTCAAGTTGACCCATTTTCCTATTGTAAGTCATCACTTTGCCTACACTTTGTTTGCAGGCGATCTATAGTCACTATTTAAATTTGGTTGTTGAATAATACTTTCTTCTTCAAAATGTTCTCAACTAGTCAAAATCGAAACTGTGATAATCTAGTTATTATGCTGTCCATATATGGGTTTTTTTTCAGTATAAATGTATTTACTATAAAAGTTCTCGTCACGATGTGGCTGAAATATTGCTGATGTGACGTTAAATTTTAACTCACTAATTGCTCTCTTCAGCAACCCATGCTTGTCGTAAGAGGCGACGAACGGGATCGGGTGGTTAGGCTCGCTGACTTGGTTAATGCATGTCATCGTATCCCAACTGCGTGGATCGATGCGCATGATGTCAATCACTGGATTGTCTGGTCCAGACTCGATTACTTACAGACCTCTGTCATATAGCTGGAATATTGCTGAGTGCGGCGTTAAACAACAAACAAACTGATTGCACTTAGATGAAGCGTCGAAGCTTTAAAGCTTAAAGGTGTATGCAGTCACATGTAATACTTGTATATCACATACTCATAAGTACAATGAAACATTGTTAATGTAGACAGTAAAGTCCCAAGTGAAAACATACGTTTTAACAGAGGTCCTGACGAAACAATGGTACGTAGAAGTATCCCTTCAATTACACAAATATCACACCAATGTTTCTAAGGCTGACTTTATTGAGGGGGCGGTCGGGTAGCCTAGTGGTTAAAGCGTTCGCTCATCACGCCGAAGACCCGGGTTCGATTTCCGACATGGGTACAATGTGTGTAGCCCATTTCTGGTGTCCCCCGCCATGATATTGCTGGAATATTGCTAAAAGCGGAGTAAAGCCACACTCACTCACTCACTAAAAAAATCACTCACTCACTCACTTTACCTCATTTATTTCAGACAAGGAATGACGATTCCGTTCTGCGACATGGTAATCTGTGACATATGACAGTGCGACTCACTCCTTGACTAAATCAATAGCCAGTCATCTTCACATCTATGGTTGGAATACCCCAATAGCTAAGTTCCCGTGAACCCAACAGACAAGATAAATGGTAAGTGCAATCTGATGGTACTTTGAACAGATCACGTATCGAGATATTTAAGAAATAAACAACGACCACGAGTCGTTTATTTCTTATATTTGATATTAACATTGTGTACAGCCTCTTTAAGTATATTAGTAAAAAGTACACGTTTTAAACATATATACCCGTATTAAAATAATGATGACTCCCTGAACAGAATCCGACCGCGGCATGTCGGACAAGTCTAAGTTAGGAACGGGGGTAAATTGGGTCTATCCCAGATGTTCTCACACGTTTCACGTCGATTATCTGTATCTTTTCTCCCAATACCGATTATCATAAGTCTCCCACTTTTGGGAGCTAACGTTCGGCCATTGCGTTCATCTGCGCTGTCGTGCTACATCTATTGGGAACAACTCACTGGACACTCCCCTCTCAAAAATAACGTCGTCCAACTTACGACGTCATCAAGTTGAGAGAGCATTTTCGAATCGCCAGAAATGACGTCATGATAGAACAATGTTTTATCGTGAAATAAACCACGCTTCGTTATTCATTGTACTATGCGATTTATCGCGTAGCTATCTTATATTTGTTTATAGATCCGACACTAACCCTTATACAAACGCAATGCATTGCTTGCCCTTTTCGCGAACATTTGGTGTTGTCGGTGATTCACAGTGATCCGTGTGTGTGTGTGTGTGTGTGTGTGTGTGTGTGTGTGTGTGTGTGTGTGTGTGTGTGTGTGTGTGTGTGTGTGTGTGTGTGTGTGTGTGTGTTCAGTTCAATCATGTATATATGTAATATGTACAAGCAAATTTTTGTGTTTATTAAATATTTACTTCTTTGCTGCTGAAACGTCCGCTTGCAGTTATATATTGCATGTACGTTATATAATTGGACTGGTTCATAGGTTTGTGAGTTCATCAACACATGCATCCAAAATTTCAATTTGAGTTTGGTCTACATGGGATACTGGGGTTTCTTTGTTCCAGTACGGCCAGATTCATTGTGTGGTCCGAGAATTGGTGCAGGACAAATTTAGCAACGAAACATGGCAGAAAATTCTGTAAGTACAAAGTGTCATGCTCTGTATATATGGTCTACCACCTTGTAGTTTTAAACATCTAGTCCATATTCTGGACCCCAAAGTTATTGCTAAATTATGTTTGTGTTATCTTTTTTGTTGCATTCTGTGCCTTCAAACAGATAAAACAAACATAATAGGATTGTATAATCCCCCGGGAGCCGATGAGCATAGTTTATTACATGATGGGGATGATGCAAGCTTTAATTATAAGGGTTAATTATAACCACGTATTGGTAAAATGGCAAGGTATAGACCAGCGATTAATTTCAATGGTGTAACGCTAACACGACGCAAAGTATGTATAATGTGACACTTTTGTTTGAGATTTATTTCATAGGGATGCTTCAGAAGGCTACGCCGTCACAGAGGCTAACCATGCGGCCAATAATCCATTAGCTTTCACCGTCTTATCTCGTATTAATCACTCACTATCAGACGAACACGCTTTTGATAATGAGCGAGACGCAAGCATTACACATGATGGTACGCCAGAAACAGTCCTTAAAAGAAAACACTTGACCCCGGAAAGCACTATCAGAATATTCATCACCGTGTGATAAGAGGTATGATAAGATTCAACTTTCTAACAGTCAACTTTCCCTTTATAAATTATGTCGAGCAATATTTCAATAGCTCCATTCTTTGGTGTCCACATTTCACAATTTTTGAGGTACAAATCGAGCATGCTCTTACTACGGCCTGCTCATACGGCTTGCTCAAAAGTTGTTTGGCCAAGGTTGAAACATTCAAGGCCTCAGCAAAACTTTCAAAATGTTTTATGGTGGATATGAGGAGGACAGTGACAAAAAAATATGTCCAGTGTTATTCCCTGTTTGACTTGTACCATATCTGTCCGTGGTTTTTTTGGTGAACACTTGACTTGCTTTTGCATGTGTTTGTGACAGGTGCCATCGGTGGGTCAGGATACGCTCACCTTTTCACAAACACCTGGTATCACTATTTGATGGTAATTCACAAGCGATTCTGCTTTTAGCAGAGATTTGTTGCAATGGAAATGGTTTTGTCGCTTTTAAGTATCTTTTTCTTGTTCTGTGCATATCTATAAATCTTGCACAAATCACGTTACATGGAATAAAGAAGCGATGGAGCGCCCTACATTGACTGCTTATGGCACAAGGGCCATTCGTGTTGGTACTTTGACAGTTCAGAACCACACTGTTCATATTTCGTGTCATTGACTGTTCACGACATTCCAATTAAGCCGTGATATGGCGGCATATAGTCAATTTCTGGGATGGTCAGTGACTCGTTGTTCCTGATCATCCACTGTTCTCAATGAAGTCAACTACCGCGGTACTGATGTATACCTGGTGCATCACTTCAGTCATAAAGGAGCCACACAACAAGGGGGAAGTAACACTCATTAGCTCACTTGTTACTTCCTTTAACCCGCACGTCCTTGTTTCTTGTAAACATTTCTACATATGACCACATGTTTCCCCAGATGGTCGCAAGTACTGATTCATATCGTATGATGCAAACAAGCGGGGTTATCAATTAAAGGGGTAGTCGAACTACTACTACCATGGAACAATTAAACATTCTGTATTCTGTATAAGAGCTTCTCACTTTATAAACAAAACCAAAAGCGTGTCGTTTTTCCATGGAAATATTTGTAAGCTGTGCTCAGCCTCTTTCGAGGCGTATGTATGTAGTGTCGTTACTCAAGATGTTTAGTTTGTGATTAAGCTCTTATCCCAGGGTTGGCATTCATGTTTTGTCATGCTCGCATGATTTCATATATATACTCAATAGTTAGATAGTTACTCAATAGATACGAAAAAGTTTCTTTGTTTTACGTTCATTTCCTCAGGGACATCTTTTGAAACGCCATTGTTTCAATATCGAATTTAAAAACCCACATGAAAGTTCAGGTCCAATATGTTCAAATTTAAATCCTTTTCGCAGTTGTGGGAATATTGATAACTTTGCTGGAGTGCCTGGATTGACCAACGTTGCTGGAATGCCTGGATTGACCAACGTTGCTGCAATGCCTGGATTGACCAACTTTGCTGGAATGCCTGGATTGACAAACGTTGCTGGAATGCCTGGATTGACAAACGTTGCTGGAATGCCTGGATCGACCAACGTTGCTGGAATGCCTTGACTGACCAACGTTGCTGGAATGCCTGGATTGACCAACGTTACTGCAATGCCTGGATTGGACAATGTTGCTGGAGTGCCTGGATTGACCAACGTTGCTGGAATGCCTGGATTGACAAACGTTGCTGAAGTGCCTGGATCGACCAACGTTGCTGGAATGCCTTGACTGACCAACGTTGCTGGAATGCCTGGATTGACAAACGTTGCTGAAGTGCCTGGATCGACCAACGTTGCTGGAATGCCTGGATTGACCAACGTTGCTGGAATGCCTGGATTGCCAAACTTTGCTGGAGTGCCTGGATTGACCAACGTTGCTGCAATGCCTGGATTAGACAATGTTGCTGGAGTGCCTGGATTGACCAACGTTGCTGCAATGCCTGGATTAGACAATGTTGCTGGAATGCCTGGATTGACCAACGTTGCTGCAATGCCTGGATTTGACAATGTTGCTGGAATGCCTGGATTGACCAACGTTGCTGCAATGCCTGGATTGGACAATGTTGCTGGAATGCCTGGATTGATCAACTTTACTAGCTAGAGTGCCTGGATTGACCAACGTTGCTGGAATGCCTGGATCGACCAACGTTGCTGGAATGCCTTGACTGACCAACGTTGCTGGAATGCCTGGATTGACCAACGTTACTGCAATGCCTGGATTGGACAATGTTGCTGGAGTGCCTGGATTGACCAACGTTGCTGGAATGCCTGGATTGACAAACGTTGCTGAAGTGCCTGGATCGACCAACGTTGCTGGAATGCCTTGACTGACCAACGTTGCTCGAATGCCTGGATTGACCAACGTTACTGCAATGCCTGGATTGGACAATGTTGCTGGAGTGCCTGGATTGACCAACGTTGCTGGAATGCCTGGATTGACAAACGTTGCTGAAGTGCCTGGATCGACCAACGTTGCTGGAATGCCTTGACTGACCAACGTTGCTCGAATGCCTGGATTGACCAACGTAAATGCAATGCCTGGATTGGACAATGTTGCTGGAATGCCTGGATTGACCAACGTTGCTGCAATGCCTGGATTGGACAATGTTGCTGGAATGCCTGGATTGACCAACGTTGCTGCAATGCCTGGATTGGACAATGTTGCTGGAATGCCTGGATTGACCAACGTTGCTGCAATGCCTGGATTGGACAATGTTGCTGGAATGCCTGGATTGACCAACGTTGCTGCAATGCCTGGATTGGACAATGTTGCTGGAATGCCTGGATTGATCAACTTTACTAGCTAGAGTGCCTGGATTGACAAACGTTGCTGGAATGCCTGGATCGACCAACGTTGCTGGAATGCCTTGACTGACCAACGTTGCTGGAATGCCTGGATTGACCAACGTTACTGCAATGCCTGGATTGGACAATGTTGCTGGAGTGCCTGGATTGACCAACGTTGCTGGAATGCCTGGATTGACAAACGTTGCTGAAGTGCCTGGATCGACCAACGTTGCTGCAATGCCTGGATTGGACAATGTTGCTGGAATGCCTGGATTGACCAACGTTGCTGCAATGCCTGGATTGGACAATGTTGCTGGAATGCCTGGATTGATCAACTTTACTAGCTAGAGTGCCTGGATTGACAAACGTTGCTGGAATGCCTGGATCGACCAACGTTGCTGGAATGCCTTGACTGACCAACGTTGCTGGAATGCCTGGATTGACCAACGTTACTGCAATGCCTGGATTGGACAATGTTGCTGGAGTGCCTGGATTGACCAACGTTGCTGGAATGCCTGGATTGACAAACGTTGCTGAAGTGCCTGGATCGACCAACGTTGCTGGAATGCCTGGATTGACCAACGTTGCTGGAATGCCTGGATTGACAAACTTTGCTGGAGTGCCTGGATTGACCAACGTTGCTGGAATGCCTGGATTGGACAATGTTGCTGGAATGCCTGGATTGACCAACGTAAATGCAATGCCTGGATTGGACAATGTTGCTGGAATGCCTGGATTGACCAACGTTGCTGCAATGCCTGGATTGGACAATGTTGCTGGAATGCCTGGATTGACCAACGTTGCTGCAATGCCTTGATTGGACAATGTTGCTGGAATGCCTGGATTGACCAACGTTGCTGCAATGCCTGGATTGGACAATGTTGCTGGAATGCCTGGATTGACAAACTTTGCTGGAGTGCCTGGATTGACCAACGTTGCTGCAATGCCTGGATTGGACAATGTTGCTGGAATGCCTGGATTGACAAACTTTGCTGGAATGCCTGGATTGACCAACGTTGCTGCAATGCCTGGATTGGACAATGTTGCTGGAATGCCTGGATTGACAAACTTTGCTGGAGTGCCTGGATTGACCAACGTTACTGCAATGCCTGGATTGGACAATGTTGCTGGAATGTCTGGATTGATCAACTTTACTAGCTAGAGTGCCTGGATTGACCAACGTTTTTGGAATACCTGGCTGTTGTAGTCAGTCCTTCCAACAGGAATTATTTGATCACAGCATGGACGTCAATGTTGTCAATCTTCATCAATAGAGAATACTGTAAATCTTTAGCCAAAAATGAGACTCAATATAAATGCGACCTAGTCACTTTAATACCTAGTCACCTTAATGTCTGCTAAAATATGCTCCGAGTAGTGTGCTTGTTTCAAATGCAACCGTAAGTATGGAAAGTATTGTGCTTAATGCATGCAACTTGGTAAGGGTGGATTGTACATCCTTCTAAACGAATCAGCTTTATTAAAGACTTGATCATATCCAAATGGTTTATCAATTCTTCTTGAAAACCTCTAAACCCGGCTTATTGGACACCTACTGGGAATCTCCACTGGTGTTCTCACATGAACATTACATAAAAGTGATTTGAACAGTTGACACAAATGCACTCGTGGTAAAGTTGAGAACGTCTTATAACAAAAATATATCTTTGGTTTCAGACACTTGGCATGCCACATTTGCAATAATAATCATCACACGACTTCAGTGTCCCTTATGCAAAGACTTTGTACTCAATCCATATTTGTTCCAGAGAGGAGTCTGGTCGTGATGTACACGACCATTTCTTTGTACTCATGAGGGGCGGTCGGGAAGCCTAGTGGTTAAAGCGTTCGCTCGTCACGCCGAAGACCCGGGTTCGATTCCCGACATGGGTACAATGTGTGAAGCCCATTTCTCGTGTCCCCCGCCGTGGTATTGCTGGAATATTGCTAAAAGCGGCGTAAAACCATACTCTCTCACTCACTCTTTGTACTCATGAACACATTTTCGGGTGAATATTTTATACGTGGTATGTCCCTTTCATAAGATAAAGACGTTGCCTCATGAAACATTTAGAAACAACATGATTTCTAAAAGTGTTCCTCCGTTTTTTAATATCATACATTGTTCTTTGTATTTTGAATCGGGTCACATAACTTATGATTTAAATCCTTCAAGTCTCACTTTCACAAAGGGCGGTAATTTCATCGCCTCAATCTACCCTGAAATAGGGCACACCACTTACACTTGAGCAACATCTTCGTACAATACAATTTGAGTTGGCGCATGGTCGAAGTAAACATCCTCAAGTTTTGTTTCCTCAATCTGGATGCAATATTTCGTAGTTATTGAAACATACCTACTATAGTTTCTACCCATAGATTGTCATCTGAACTGATTTAGTGATCGGAAGTTTTCTGCAGCATATTTCAAGGAATGTGTTGAAGGAACACATTATGACAGTCGTTCTGAACGCCAAGTGTACATGAGCAAAATAAGATTATGCATCAATCCATATTTGTTCCAGGAGGGAGTCTGGTCTTGATGAACACGACCATTTCTTAGTCTTCTATCGCTATGAAGATAAGCTCACCTTCCAACTCATCGGGGCAGTGTCTAAAATTTTAGGTGAGGCTTGGATCATGTGCATTGTATCTTTCAGATAGGAACCCTTTAACCCAACATCACGACCATGGTAAGAACTCTTTCTTTATTAAATAGGGATATCATGAATAAGGACCCAGACAGATTTGCGAAAATTTCTGAAAAAATTAAAAAATTGTAACATATCTCGTTATATAGATAAATAACATATGATCTACCAGCTTCATAATGTTATATAAACATAAACCAATAATGAATACTTAAATAGGTTATAGTATCTACAAGCTTCGAGATGTGACATCATTAAAGCCACATTAATAACCACATACAGTGACCGTGATTTGAGTAAGTGAGTTTGTGAGTTTGGGTATCGTGCCACTTTAAAACAATATTTCAATATATAACGGCGTGTCAGTTTGTTATGGGAGCAAAGCCCGGGGTCACGCAGGATTTAGACGTTTATCAGTAGTGAATCTACGAATTTGGGAATGGTGCTGGCAGAATTCGAAACCACGATCACTGGTTTTAGGCACGCACAGTGAATAAGTAGAAGCAGCATTGGCAGTATAATGGTTATAGAGTTACAGTATGGGCTTGTGGGCAACTTGGACCTGAAGAAGTTTAGCCCAGTATGACTTCCTCTGTCTACCAGATCTGTCTTTGGAGGCGGTGTTGGAGGTGTTTGGTGACTACTTCGTGAGCTACTGCCTTCGTCATGGCTACGACAAGATGCTGAAGACACTGGGAGGGGACATGAAAAGCTTCATCCAGAACCTTGACTCACTCCATTCCCTACTGGCTTTCAGCTACAAGAACATAGAAGCACCATCCTTTAGGTGAGTAGGCTCATCTTTGGCTGCTTCACTTTGGGGTTCAAAATACAACACTCTACAAGGAATAGGCTATGTCATGTGCACTTAAGCTAGATGAACTTAACACAGCATTCTTTAATCATCAGAAGGTATCTAACACAGCGCCCCTTAAATATTGTTAAGTATCTAATACAGTATTCCTTAAATGTTGGTTATATATATATGATACTGCATTCTTTAAATGTTAGTAAGTTTCTAATACAGCATTCGATAAATGTTGGTAAGTATCTAATACAGAATTCTTTAAATGTTGGTAAGTATCTAATAAAGCATTCTTTGAATGTTGGTACGTATCTTATACCGCATTCCTTAAATGTTGGTATATATATGATACTGCATTCCTTAAATGTTTGTACGTATCTAATACAGCATTCCTTAAAAGTTGATACATACGTAATACAACATTCTTTAAGTGTTGGAATATAATTATCTAATAGAAATTCCTTAAATGTAAATAATGGTAAATGGTAAATACAGCATTCCTTACATGTCGTTCCACATCTGACACAGCATTGCTTAAATGTTGGGAAGTATCTAATACCTCATTATTTAAATGTTGGTACATATCTAACAAAATATTCTTCAAATGTTGGTTAGTATCTAAATTTAAATTTAAATCATGGGACATCATTTTTTGCCAAAATCATTTTTCATTCATATCAAAGAAATTCATTTAAAATATATATTTGAAAAAAATATTCGAGGTGATGCTTAAAATATATTAAGTAACTACAAATGTACTATAATTACAAATTATGTGGACCTGGAAGGGTTTTATATTGAAAAGTAATTAGAAACGCATAAATTTGAAGAAAGAACTGTCTGGCAAGCATTATGCAAATGGTGGTGACGTCATTTCTGTTGTGGTGGGAGGACATTGTACACCACCGGGTGGAAGCCTTCTACACATGTGTATTACAGAAACTCCAGCATCGTTGACAGAGTTGTGTGGAGACCTCGGAGGGGACTATGTTAAAACATAATTAGCAAATCCATCTACGCAGTCCATCAAAATTTGGCTCAGCTTTTTTCAGCTGCCATCGGAGTCACAATACTTGTGTACTAAGATACCCGTAGTATATTCACTGCGCTACACGTGATCCATGTTATTGATTTCAGGTGTGAATCTCACCCTGATGGCTCTCTCATGTTGCATTATTATACAACACGACCTAGACTCTACCCCATTGTTATAGGTAAGTGGTTCTTAGATAGGACTTAATATATGTCTGATAAGTTTAGAAACAGTAAAGATAATTTATATCTGTGCCTTCCCTTTAATCCACCATTTTTTGCATTGGGCTAGGATTGTACAGAACCTCTGACGGTTGAAGTGATGATGTAAATACCACTGGGGATCATGTAGGAAACACACTGGGGGATCATGTAGGAAACACACTGGGGAATCATGTAGGAAACACACTGGGGATCATGTAGGAAACACACTGGGGAATCATGTAGGAAACACACTGGGGATCATGTAGGAAACACACTGGGGATCATATAGGAAACACACTGGGGAATCATGTAGGAAACACACTGGGGAATCATGTAGGAAACACACTGGGGATCATGTAGGAAACACACTGGGGAATCATGTAGGAAACACACTGGGGAATCATGTAGGAAACACACTGGGGATCATGTAGGAAACACACTGGGGAATCATGTAGGAAACACACTGGGGAATCATGTAGGAAACACACTGGGGAATCATGTAGGAAACACACTGGGGAATCATGTAGGAAACACACTGGGGGATCATGTAGGAAACACACTGGGGATCATGTAGGAAACACACTGGGGATCATGTAGGAAACACACTGGGGAATCATGTAGGAAACACACTGGGGGATCATGTAGGAAACACACTGGGGGATCATGTAGGAAACAGAGGTACTGTAACCGCACTGTCCGGTTATTACGAACTCAAAGGGGCCACTTATTTTAGTTCGTTATAACCGTAGTTCGTTATAGGCATATTTACAGCATATAGACAAAATATGGACGGGACTACGCAAGTAGTTTATTGTATATGGTGAAATGAGATCAAAATTATACATACAGTCACTTAATAAGGCTGTGCATCTGGACAAACAGAATGTCAGCTGATTACAGAAGTGAGTTGGGTTAAACGCCGCTTTTAACAGTATTCCAGTGATATCACAGCTTGATGTGGAAGGAAAGCCCGAAGTGAAGTGCCTCAGACGTTTACCATTTTGGAGAAACCAACGAGCACGGGTATGGTGCTGACAAACCCTGGAAACATAATCTGAGCGAACCGGTATTCGAACCCAAGCATAGGCTTCTGGTGTGCCCAAGGGACGCAACTCTGCATAGTGACTTGGCCACCCTCACAGAAGTCGATTTGTTAGCTGCAGACTTTGTCGTTGACTAAACTAATCCCCAATAAGCAAAGGCGATAACGTCATCATGTGTTGGTAAGCACCAACGGCGAGACATGATTATATACACATGTACATATATATTTGGATGTTGAATATTTGTTGTTGCTGGGCTCAGAAATATTCCAGCTATATAACGGCGGTCTGTAAATAATCGAATCTGGACCAGACAATCCAGTGATTGACAACATGAGTATCGACCTAGTTAAAAGGGATGCGATGCCATGCATCAACCAAGTCAGCAGCCGATCACCCGATCCCATTAGTCGCTTCTTACGACAAGCATTAGTTGCTGAAGACCAATTCTATCCCGGAATCTTCACGGGGCTCACATATACATTATACACTATTCATAGCAACAGATGTATGGAAAATGTTCTGTTTGACTTTGTCACTTTTACTTAACAGTTGCACAATAAATCAGGCCAAATTTCTGAATCCATAACGTTGCATAAGTCAACTAATTTACACCTTTGGCAGATTTAGCCAGATGATAAATCTATTAGGAATGAAATCAATTCGTTTTGGAGAAGGGCTCCACATCTACAGAGATAATGAAACTCGTCTCCAACAGCAGTAGAATTACATAATTGGCAATGTCGATCTGTTAACTGTATTCTGTGTTAATTCAATGTTAAACGCAGCACTGTCTCCCCTATACGGTCTGCATTCAGTGGACCATAACAAAAATGTTAAAAGTGTCCATAGTGTTAATGCAGTTATCTGTTATGATGTACTCGAATGTACCCATCCAGGCGTTCTGCATTAAGGGGAGTTTCGGCGTGTGTCCATGACAAACTGCATTATGGCTTCCATGCAAATAAATAATGTTCCAACTGGTTCTGCATATTGACCATGCAGAAATGTTCTTCCCCGCATTGGAGAGAAACAACTGTCTGCATTCAGTGGACCATAACAATAATGTTTACAATGTCCAAGGTGTTAATGCAGTTATCTGTTATGATGTTAAAATGTAATCGAATGTACTTATGCTGATGTTCGGCATTAAGGGGATTAAAGGTGTTCGTAAAGGAGTGTGTCCATGACTGGACATCATGTCTTACATGAAAATAAATACTGTTCCAAATGGTTATGCATATTGACCATGCAGGAACGTTGCCTCCCTTAGGCGTGCATACTGTTCAACGCGTCATTTAACCAAACTCACATGAGCAAATTGTTGCATCATTTTAACAAAGGTAATACTTTGTTGAAGCCACTCCTACTAAGAGTAATGAGTTTGTTTGCTTGTTATTTAACGTCACTGCTGTAATATGGCGTTTTTAAAAAAATCGTGTCTTGACCAGCCAAACCAGTGATTGATATTATGATCAACGATCCACACCGCCCGCGTACGAGATCAGCTAGAGTCATCGAGTCTGACCACTTGATCCATTAAGCCTCTTCTTACGACCAGCTATTGGTTAGTAGGGACAAATTCAAACCGGAAATTTGTGGAAACAGTAGCGACATCATATTGTATCCTACCTTCCAGGGTCCGTACGAGCCGTTGGCCGAGAAATCTTCAAGCAGAAGGTGGATATCACGGTACTGGAGCAATCAAGGGAGGTAATCGATGGCGGTAAGACCCAGGAGCACACAGTCTTCAAGGTCATCGTGCACAAAGGGCTGAAAAATGAACGCAGGAGTCCCGAAGGTCAAGAGGAACGTCTGTCCTCCGGAAACATGAAGGTTGCTGTGCCTACAAACATTTCAGCCTTTCATCTGAATGCTGGTCAATTCTGCTCAGCATTCCCATATCATATTATATTCGACAAATATTTGAAAATTCGACAGTGTGGAGTGATGATTCACAAACTGTGCCCTGTTCCTATCCGAGAAGGCATGGCGGTTACGTCCTTGTTCCGGATAATCCACCCTAAAATGAAACTGTCCTTAGCGAACATTCACAAATTTATCAATGCGGTGTTTCTCCTGAGTGTATCCCAAGATGAGTCAGAGACGGAGGGTGACAACAAGGCAGTGGTCCTGAAAGGTAGGCGAACACATGACGACCTAAACAACCAGACAGGCAGTGGTCAGTTTCTTGTAGGCTGTTCTCCAGTATTGAATTTAAGAATCTAGCGTGTAGTTTGTTCATGACGTGAAATTACTTTCGCCAAAATTCCCCTCCGTAGGGTAATGTGTAATAGTAGCTATATGATAATTTATGATATTGCCAAACACATTCGTTATTAAGGACATAGCACTTGTACATGTGCATGCGAACCTATATAACCAAGGTACTGAGTTGTACCACATCTTTTGGTTTTCGGGATGATGTAAATCCTACTTGTGTCCTTGCAGGTAGCAAAAGTACTTTAAGTCCCTAAAGTCTCCAGTATGGTGATCTGCCTTTAGTTGCTGGCGATCTATAGCCTCGTTTTTTTTATTGTGTTGTTGAACGATAGTTTATTTTCACAAGATCTCAAACTAGATTTTAATGAATCTGTGAAGTTATAGTTATTGTACCGTCCTTCGGCGACAGGAATTCATACACTTTAAATATATTTGTCATTAATGTATAATTGTGTCTCGTAACTATTTGGTTGTCGTCTATTGACTAAAGAGACCTAGCATACGTCGCCAACTAACAGTGGAACCAGTTTACCGGTGTCATCCTTAGATTATTGCTAAGAGTCATTGGTGACTTATTGTGACGTTACATTATAACTGACTCAATCGTGGGTGAGTTTTTAAAAAGTTTCGCGTCAATACATTCATGCTAATATATTATCTGTGTGACAAAGTACATCAGATTTTTTTAATTATTTGATTAGAAAACCACACTGTCTTTTGAAAACAAATCTTCAAAAGAGAGTACTTCGCGGAAAGAAGAGAGTGAATATTGTTATTTGTATTGCAGGACAGATGATGTGGCTGGAAGCGTCTCATCATATGATCTTTATTGGATCCCCTCGCCTCACAAGCCTCAACGAACTTATGGAAATGAACGTCTACCTGGCAGATATCCCCCTGTATGACGTCACGCGCGAGCTTGTGCTGCTTAATCAACAGAGGATAGCTGAGATAGATATAGCGTGAGTAAATAATAATAAGCACATTCTTCATTTAATGAGTTCGTATACACAATGTTCTTCCATCACACTTGAATGTATTGGGCCGATATACTTGGTAGCGGTAACGCGTGTTTGTTTTCAGTCAGGTTATGATTTGTTTGTTTGTTTGTTTGTTTGTTGTTTAGAGCACTCGGCAGTATTATGGTTATATGACCTAAGTCTGTAAAAGGACCAGACAATACAGTGATAGATATCATGAGCATCGATCCACGAAATTGCGATACGATGACATGCATCAAACATGTAAGCGAGACTTACCATCCGATCCCGTTAGTCGCCTCTAACGACAAGCAGATCGCCTTTTTCGGCAAGCATGGGTTGCTGATCACGAAGACGTATTTTAACCTGGATCCTCACGGGTAGTCAGGTTATGAAGTGATGCCGTGTAGTTCTCATGGGGGTCAATTGAGCCCTACTTCCTGCATGAACTTTGTTCTAGCTCTGCAATTATGAATTTGTAGAGTGGAGGCCGCAGGGCTATGACACATGTAACACGAGAAATATTGGTGATATAATCTGAGAAGTCTGTCTCCCAACAGATAGATAATATATTTAAAAAGTCAAGTCTAGAATGATATGTCAAGCCTAGATTGCCCAAGCTCTTAAGGCTTGATCTGGACTCAGTTTGAATTTTACATATTATTTAGTTGATATATGATATGAATATTGCTACTAAATCAGAACACCAGCTTATTTTCCCCTTGCCTTAACCAGGCCTTGTCTCGAGTCGTTAGAAATGACGGATTTTTAACGAAGTGACCCTTTCCTGGTTTGCTTGCTTGTTGGATGTTTGTTGTTTTACGCCGCACTCAGCAATAATCCAGCTATATGACGCGATCTGATAATAATCGAGTCTGGACCAGACAATATAGTGAATGACATCATGAGCATCGTTGATCCACGCACGTGGGATATGATGACATGCATCCACCAAGTCAGCGAGCCTGACCACCCGATCCCTTCAGTCGCCTCTTACGATAAGCATGGGTTGCTAAAGACCAATTCTGGTCCAGACTCACTTACTTACAGACCGCCGTCATGTAGCTGGAATATTGCTGGGTGAGGCGTTAAACAAAAAACAACAACAATAACAATTGTTCACCTGAAAGGAAAAACACGGGAACATATGATACAAGTCAAAATAGGAACTGCATCCACCACATGTCTGCCATAACACTTTTTGTAAGCTTAACTGAGGCATTGAATGTTGTGATACTTAGTATACCAAACAACTTTTGTTCACCAACAATCAAATTGTCTTCTCTGTTAAAATCTTCCACGTGCAACAACTATGATATTCGATGTAAACATTTCGTGTTTGTTTACTTTCCATCACATATTGCTGTATACTTTCTTTGCCCGACTGCTTATTTCTTTTCCTAGCGTCCATAAAGGATGTTGTTTCTCTCCAATGCGGGGAAGAACATTTCTGCATGGACAATATGCATAACCAGTTGGAACAGTATTTATTTGCATGGAAGCCATGATGCAGTTTGTCATGGACACACTCCGAAACTGACACCTTTTTAAATCCCCTTAATGCCGAACGCCAGGATGGATACATTCGATTACATCATAACAGATAACTGCATTAACACTATGGACACTGAACATTAACATTATTGTTATGGTCCACTGAATGCAGACAGTTTAGGATAGACTGTGCTGCGTTTAACATTGAATTGACACAGAATACAGTTAATAGATCGACATTCCCTGTTATGAATTTCTACTGCAGTTGGAGACAAGTTTCATTGTCTCTTTAGATGTGGAGCCCTTCTCCAAAAAGAATTGATTTAATTCCTAATAGATTTATCATCTGGCTAAATCTGTTAAAATGTGTAAATTAGTTGACTTATGCAGCGTTATGGATTTCAGACATTTGGCCTGATTTATTGTGCAACTGTTAAGTAAAACTGAAAAAAGTCAAATAGAACCATTTTCCATACATCTGTCACGTTGCTATGAATACTGTATAATGTATATATGAGTCCCGTGAAGATTCCGGGATAGAAGCAATCCATGTCGTAAGAGGAGACTAGCGGGATCGTGTGGTCGGCTGCTAACGTGGTTGATGCACGACATCGTATTCAGCAGAACTGTTCTGATAGCATCCAACTTCACCCTGAAACTATAAAGTTATTTCTTCTCTTGTTTGCCGATGATATAGTAATGTTTTCAAGCACAATACCTGGACTACAAATGCAAGTTCATCACCTGGAATGTTATTGCAAAGAATGAAATTTATCTGTCAACAAGAATAAGACAAAAGTTAATGTTTTTAAAAATTATGGTACACTAGCCAGAAGGGAGAAATGGTTTTATCAAGGACATTCATTAGATGTTGTATCGTTCTATTAGTACTTTTGTATATTTTACAAATAGATTGTCATGGCAGATGTATGCTAACCAAGCTGCTGTACAAGTTGAGATGAAAGTTCTTGGAAATATATCCTATAATACATTCTTTAAGATTTTCGATACAAAAATAAGCCCCTTTTTGTTATACGGAGCAGAGGTTTGGGGAATAGAAATGATTGATGTTATAGAAAAAGTACATTTTTATGCCTTCAAAAGATTCCTTGGTGTGAAACCTAGTACGTCTAAACTAATGGTTTATGGAGAATGTGGACGATAGCCATTAATTATGTTTGCAAAGTTAAAGACGATAAAAAATACTGGATCAAATTAGTTAAAATGCCTGCAACCAGATATCCAAAGAAATGTTATCACATGTTATTACTCTGATCAACAAGGACATACTAGATGGGCATCTTCTGTTTAGCATCAACTTTATTCATGTGGTTATGGTAATATATGTACAGGACTGGGTACGTATATACCAGATCATTTCATAGATGCTTTCACTCAGACTTTGAAAGATATGTACATTCAAAATTAGCATGTTTCCTTATCAGTATCAAAGAAACTATCAACTTATTCCCTCTTTCAAAACAACTTCTGTGGAGAGCAATACTTGTTAGATGTGACTCTAAAACATTTCGAATTGCACTTGCAAGATTCAGATGTGGTTCACACGATCTCTTTATCGATACGGGAAGATATATGGAGATCGTGAGAGAACACAGAATTTGTCAGTTTTGTGATTTAAACACTGTAGAAAATGAATACCATTTCTTACTACTTTGTCCGTTGTATGCTGAACTCAGAAAACAGTTCATTGATAAATATTATAACCGTTATCCAAGTCTACAGAAATTTGTTACATTAATGTCAAGTCAAAATGTAGTGATAACGAAAAAGCTGTCAATGTACATATTGCATGCTATGAAGCTCAGAAGCTCCTAATATGTTACCTTATAAATGTACATGCACCCATTACTATGTAGCATGTGCTATGAGCCTATGGCCTCGTATCCCTAATGCGTAGGTCGATGTTCTTGATGTCAATTAGTGGATTGTCTGCTCCAGCCTCGATGATTTTGCAGACCACCGTCATATAGCTGGAATATTGCTGAGTGTGGCGTTAAACAGCAACAAAAAACAACATACGAGCAAAACATATGAGGTACTACTAAGCAAATTACAAGTTCGATGCCTACTGGCTCAAAAACCTTTCCATAGAGGTGCCCAAAAGTTTATATGCAGGTTTCCCGAATGAGGGAGCGCGTATGCACATTTTATTTTAACCATCATGACTGAAAACCATTTGGCACAATATTCACTTTTTCGGGAACTTTATTCACGCCACTGTATTTCTTTCGCGATTTTTTAAAGTGACATTAGTGAATGAAAATATGTGTCCAACTGTGATTATTTTCATTTCGAAATGACACTATAAAGAGATGTTTCCCCTCGTTTGTGTCGGTATCGTACATACCATATATTATTGAATTAAAAGTAACACGCTCGTCAGAGCCTCGCATACTACTATTTGTATTCCCAATATAAGGTATTTTCGATACATAACCACTCTCAGCTGATAATTCGTATGTACTTCATCTACACAGCAAGAAGTTGGACGAAACAACAGCAGCGTTGAAGCGGACGTCCCAGGCGTTGGAGATAGAGAAACAGAAGACGGATGTGCTGTTGTATCAGATGCTGCCACCGAAGGTTGCGCACCAGCTGAAGAACGGCAGACAGGTGGAGGCAGGTGAGACAACACTTTAACACTTTAACACTTTAACCAGTATCATCCACACCGTCATCTAAAGGTAATGTTTTGTAAAGATAATTAATTGGTTAATTTAATCCCCCCCATCCCTCATGTCCAATATTGTCGTTTGGTATGGAGAGCCATAAGCATTTGATGCATTGCAATCGGAGTCCTAGTCGTGATTTTGATAAGATTGCAGAAAGCCCGAAGTGAACTTATTTGACTTTTCAAAATTTCTTCAGAAACAGCAACTCCATGTCTTGTCGACTGAAACAAATGGTGTTATTTTGAATTTAAGAGAAGTTCGACCAAGTGACAATTCTGTTCAGCGACATCGTGACCTTCACCAACATGGCTGCAGCCTGCACGCCCATGGACATCGTCAACATGCTGAATAACCTCTACCACCGCTTCGACAAGAGCACCAATGACCATGATATTTACAAGGTAGAAAAGCCATTGTTTTATATTGCCACCAGTGAGTTGGTTCAGTTATTTCACGGCGGGTAAGCTTGGTGTGGGCGGAATCCCGGAGTGAGTGATGTAGGTCTTAAACGCAATCCAGGATTACGGGTGCTGACACATCTCCGAATGTTTAGTGGTAGAATCTGTGATTCTGCCTCCTGGAGGGTTATGAAGGGACTCGTCCTGAGGTGTTAGGCGCAACCCACTAGTAGGGTATGGTGCTGACACATCTCTGAACATTTATTGGTAGCATCTGTGATTCTGCCTCCTGGATGGTCATGAAGGGATGAATCGTCCTGAGGTGTTATGCGCAACCCACTAGTAGGGTATGGTGCTGACACATCTCTGAACATTTAGTTGGCGAATCTCTGATTCTGCCTCCTGGATGGTTATGAAGGGACTCGTCTTGAGGTGTAAGGCCGTCCACGAGTACGGGTATGGTGCTGACAAACCTTGACACATGTATCAGGAATGTGAATTTGGAATCCTGCATCCTCGATGGAACTGAAGGGATTCGTACGTCACAACGAGCTTTCCTCCCACATAAAGTTGACCCGCCGTAATATAATTGTAATAATGTTGAAGATGCGTCATTACCACCTGATCCACACACAATTAAGGTGGTGGGTAGCCAAGATGTTAGAGCCTTTACTCATCACGCCTACGCTTCGGGTTTCACTCACCATATGGGAGCAATATGTGAAAGCCCATTCTTGTTGTTTTGGTACGGCTGGAATACAATGTATTCTAAAAGCGGCGTTAAACCTTTTTTGGAATGTCATGAACTCGTCTGCATATGCGACTTCTTTGTTAAAACAAACCATTACTTCATTTCATTTCAATATGGCTGGCAGAAAGACCTTCTGACCTAAATCTAACAAGTCACACGCCCACACTGACATAAGATGACACTTCATTGGTGATTATATTTGAAAGATGTTTTGTAGAATTAAAGATGAAGGTTCTGCTATTACGATAATCAATCAAATGTGTCGATTCCCAAAATGGGATTCCGTAATGTAAGATGACACTTCATTCGTAAGGACTATAGCAAACGCTAAAGTCGATTTCAATGGTGAGACAATTTGATTTTGCTGAAATAATAGCTTGAACTAGGGGACCATTTAAAACAGTACAACACACTCAGATCATGGCGGGTTGTGCTGAGAAATAACGTGTTGCAGATGTGTTGGTCGTACGTCAAATATCTTACGTTATGTGTTATGTGTCCTTTGGAATTTGTTAAATTGAAGACTTTGGATTTCGAAAATAGCGAATGGGATTCACACATTGCTCTGATATGATGAATCAACCCGAGTGTACGGCGTGATGAGTGAACGCTTCAACACATTGGCCAGCCACCACCCTTAACTGTGTTAGGTGAGTTGGATTAACTCTTCGAACACTCGTGTCCATCATGTGGCCACTTCGTACGGGTCCGTAACCTACAAGATGACTCGGGGGCGGTCGGGTAGCCCAGTGGTTAAAGCGTTCGCTCGTCACGCCGAAGACCCGGGTTCGATTCCCGACATGGGTACAATGTGTGAAGCCCATTTCTGGTGTCCCCCGCCGTGATATTGCTGGAATATTGCTAAAAGCGGCGTAAACCCATACTCACTCACTCACTCACTACAAGAAGACTCGATCAATGGTATATGCGACAACACGACAAACCAATCCAAATGCGCGTATGATCAGAATGCGTGTATGATTTATACTCATTTTAAATGGTTTGGTCAAAGAGTCCCTCCTTATTAGTTTGTAATTTGTAAATAATACCTTACGTGGTAAACACATTTGTTTCGGCGCCCTAACGGGTGGTTGTTAATGGTCAACGTGCTGTATTTAGAAAATATTCATGTAAACGTACAAATCAAAGGCGGATGTGGTACATCTTCCCGAGGCAAGAGAGTTAACTGACTTTGAAAGTCCAGTTTCAACCCTTGCCGAACTAGGCTGGTATTATGGAGTAACTGTTGCATTTTGGCTGGACTAACGAGTCTATGCATAGTCCAATCAAAATCGCGCACCGAAATCGAAATCCGGTTCGTAAACTGTCGTACAGATTTTGGTCGATTGCAGGATTTGCAAAGTATGTGTACCGCCAACTCGTTGTCAGCAGATAATTTCCAAATCTCCTCATGTTTTTAATCATGGTTCCGTCTTAGCGCAAACGGACATAGAGAACATTTGGCCAACTTGTCGTACCACATCCGCATTTGACTTGCATTGTACATTCACTGAATATTATAAGGGTGACAATATTTTTCAGGGCATTATCAGGGGCATGGGTGGCCCAGTCGCTGTGAAGAGTTGCGTCCCTTGGGCACGCCAGAAACCCAGATTGCGGTTTCGAATGCCGGTTCGCCCCGATTATGTTTCTAGGTTTGTCAGCACTATACTAAGTGGGTTTCATCGAAGTGGTAAACGTCGGAGACCTGCATCACTTCGGGTTTTCCTCCCACATTAAGCTGATACGCCGTGATATAACTGGAATACTGTTAAAAGCGGCGTTAAACTCACTCGAGGCATTATCATTTACAGAAGCCCGAGTTCTCGCATTAGCTGACGACGAAGAGGCGAGGCTAAACGGGCCGTGGGCTTCTGCTGATGTAATGCCCTGACAAATACCGTTACCCTCAAAAAGCTCACAAGGAATCTGTCCTTAGCATGATCGTAACCCAAGAAAACCCCAAGATAAACAATCAACAACGTATGGTAAATATCTGTTATACACACAAAGAACACAACAGAGGTCAGTGTACGACTGGCTGAGAAAAACGTCATCAGCAACTGATTACGTCACTATAGTTTGTCTCTTTGTTTCACGCCGCAATCAGCAATATTCCAGCTATAGGACGGCGGTCTGTAAATAATCATGTCTGGACCAGACAATCCAGTGATTGACATGAACATCGATCTAGGCAATTGGGACACGATGACATGCATCAACCAAGTCAGCGATCCCGTTAGTCGCCTCTTACGACAAGCATAGTCGCCTCCTAGGGCAAGCATGGGCTGCTGAAGACCTATTCTCTACCCGGATCTTCACGGGTCACGTCAATTTAAGCCGCGATTCAGCTTTTACCGATACTGGCCAGTGGTCATTTTTCAGAGTTTGCTGGATATTGACATTTAAAGGAAGTTTGACGTCTCTCTCAACGTTCCACTGTTCAACTTCACCGTCGTGTTTAATCACGACCCGCTTTTCGATTAACACTCCATACAATCTATCGCGTGTGCCCTCATCCACAAATCGCTGTCGTTTTCCTCTAAATTAAATCTTGACTTCATTGACCCATATATCATCAGTTGTCTCGCGAGGCACTCGCTATCGCTTGATCACGGGAGTCGACAGAGCCGTATGGATACAGTCAGACGCCGTGTCTGTTTAGATAGGTTAGTATGCAAATTACCTTTTACACTGGACAGCACTTTGCCTGATAACGCCTGGGCCGTTCCACGAGAATTCTATCAATTATAGCTATAATTTCTAAATACAACACGTATTTCTGTACAGTAAAAGAACTGAAACTGTGATTTTGGTATATTTACATACACAAACAAACTACACCTAAAACAAACAAAGGAGGGATTATTTTACCAATGTACTGTACGTGTTGTCAGACACACATTCTAAAAGGGTTTCTTGTGTTTTAACACAACTCATTGACGAAAAAGCCCACTACAATGTGTATCGGGTAGAGTCATTTTGAGACCATCGTACAGCAACGGTGAGGACAGTTATAACGGCTCTGGTTACCACTGTATAAATATATTACAAATTTACACTGGTATCGGGTGCGAATCCAGAAATGATCTTTTTGTCCGTCAGAAGAAGGTTTCATGGTGGTGGAATCAAAGCACGACAAATAATCAGTGCTAGTTTGGGATAAGAACACACAGGGCAGAGGGTTCCGGCACTCTGAAGGGACGCAACTCGGCACAACGAATTGTGGCTCCTTCACCAACTGAGCCACCTGTTGCCCCGTTATAGTAGGAGTCAAATACTACTGGAATGGTGGAGGACACCAAAGTCAAACTCTACTATCCTATAATATAATCCAATGTTTTGCTGTGTTTAGGTGGAAACCATTGGCGATGCCTACATGGTGGTGAGCGGAGTTCCGGAGCCGTCCACCAACCATGCCAAGTCCGTCGCCGACTTCGCCATGGACATGGTGCAGGAAGCCGCCACAGTCAACTCCCCTGCAACTGGGAAACCTCTACAGGTAGGAACGATGTCTCGTGTCAACGACTTGTTTGCGAATTTAATTTATTTTTCTATATTTTTTATAGAATACTTGAACATCGGCTCCTCAATACGTACGTAGACATTACTAAGTTATTTAAATGCAATGTATTTCAAGAATTAAACATCGCCGATTCCTTACGTGTTAAAAAATACCAGTACGCTCAAGTGACACATTCATATACCGTTGCTGACATACCGTTGCTGAGATAATTATAAGAATCTATACATTTTCAGGCAAAAACACCAAATATAAAACGCTGTGCTTTTCTTTTGTGAAGTCCGTTTCAAGATATGTCTGTTGAACATTAAGTCATTTTTAAAGCGCCTTATATTGCTCATGGCGCAATATTACCCCGGCTAACGGATCAGTGCTCATTGAAATTACATTCTCAGCTCCCTGGGGAGTATACAACCCAAGCCGCCTGGAAGGTTTTACATTCACATTATAGTAATCATTATCATCTAAGCACCCATGTGACATTAAGTCCGACGTGGGAATTCCGGGTTAGAATTGGTCCCCAGCAACCAATGCTTGCAGTCCAAGGCGACTTAATGAATCGTGTTGTCAAGGTCGGTGACTTGGTTGAGGGCGTGGGTCGTTGCTGAAGTCATCATATGAATGTGCCCCCACCACCCATTGCTAGTCGCAAGAGGCAACTAAGTTGGATCACGTCGAAATCCTGGGCTACTAATCGTCCAAACGATCTATTCTTGTCATACGAGGCAAGGCGAGTCACCCCGACGGCGGGACACGTCATTGGATTGTGTAGTGCACACTTGATTATTTGCAGGCCCGACTTCAATTACCTTTATTTAATATTGATGAATTAATCAACAAACAAGCTAAGACATTAAATCCTTTTTGTCCCCCAGATCCGAGTGGGGGTCCATACAGGCCCCGTGGTGTCAGGGGTCGTCGGGATGAAGATGCCTCGCTACTGCCTGTTTGGGGACAGCGTCAACACCGCATCCAGGATGGAGAGTCATGGCGTCCCGGGCAGGATCCACGTCAGCCCCACCACATTCAGGTACCACGTAGTCGACATTTTAATCTACGTATATGAGAATTGGATATGTCTGTCTTGTTAACTATGTACATGTGTTAATTAAACGCTGGAAAGGGGAGAAAACTGTTGTTTGTGGTGCGTTTTAATGAAAAGTAAATTTATTTCATCCCTTCCGATGTCGATCTATTTTGGAAATAATTTCATTATTTAAATTTGAGACATTTGTCGTTACGATAGGTTTCTAACATAACCATACCTTAATCGTATCTGTTAACTGTTCAACTGGGGGTGGGTTCTCTAACATATTGCATTCAGTGTTAATGTAATATTGCGGGGCTTGCCGTCATTAGTATGATTTTAGTTGAGTCCTGTACATTGAACATGAGCTTTTAACACTAACATTTTCGGTCGAACTGAATAATATGTTTATGTAGACATGTCTTATGTTCAGAGTTAAAATATGAACACACAAAACGGTATGATATTTATTTTCAATATTGGATTACAAAGAGTACATTTACGCTCTGGCAGTGATAATTTCTATTCCAACTTCAATTGGTAAATAGTGTGAGGGGTGGGTGGGTGGGAGGTGTGTGTGTGTGTGTGTGTGTGTGGGGGGGGGGGGGGGGTTGTTATCTAGATTTGATATTTTTTATTTAGCTATATTAAAGCTATGAGCCTGCACCTTGCAACAATATCATTTTCGCGGATGGAAATTTCTTCTTTATCAACAATCTGTAAAATAAGTATTTTGTTCAAGTATTCTGGGGAACAACTTATTTTATTTTCATTTAAAGGTGCAACTTAATCAAGTGACCATTATTTCCAGATGTATACGAAACAAAGGCTACCAGTTAAAGAAACGCGGACAGATTCAAGTGAAGGGTAAAGGTGAAATGACCACGTACTTCCTCGTGGGCGACAAGAACCGCAGAGTTGTAGAACCAGATGACGACTTCACCAGTCTCTCCGTTGACTCAGACTTCTGTTCGGATTGTGAAGAGGTGACGTCATCAGAAAAATCTATGACGCCGAATTCTGACGTCAATGAAATGCCCATAATTTCAACAAAGCTCCGAAGGTGGAGTAAGATGCGGGATCAACAAAGCAGCACATGTGATATATCATAGCAGAACGGAATATCAGGCATTCTTTATTCGGCACTGAAGAGGACACAGACCTATGGTACACATCATACATATTTATTTTTGGTATCTAACAAGCTCCATTGCATCTTGCTTTTTAAAAATCCTACACCTCTGATCAACATAGCAGTATTGGTCATATTTTTGCATCAAGTATTTTGAAGGAGTTCCTTTGTTTTAGTATACTTATCAACATTGCGTTTGTTTGTACTGATGAATATTTCGTATGCTTAGACCATTTGAGATGGTTCGTGAAGTATACACCTAGTGATGTAATCTCAAAACATTAATGTTTCTCTTTGTGAAAACATTCCCTTTTTAAGGACAATGACTGTTGACTCTTCATCTCTGTTGTCTCTTTGTTTCAATTCATCAAAATAATTTTCAAGCATTGGTAAGTTATATGATGTCATCTGCAAAAACTAACAAGAACAGGATGTAATATCAGAATGTAATATCAGGATGTAATATCAGGATGTAATATCAGGATGAAACGGAATGTCATGGGCACAATTATCACGGATTTATGAAGCTAATTTATTTATGAAAAAAGGTAAACAAATACGATTTAAACGCAACCCTGTCTGACTCCTAACTGACACAGAAAATTCCCAAACTTCATGATTATTATTTAAACATACCTTTAGGTTCTCATACACACCACACAGAAAATTGTAAACCAACACCACTGTGTTGCTATTTTTGTAGTGATTCATAAACACATGCTAATGATATAGTCGGAATCGTAAAATCGAATTTCATAATAATATGGAAAGGGTTTTGTCGCTTTTATTTTAAGGACTCCATAACATATTTCAATGTACAGAATCAAATGCCTTCGAAAAGTCGACAAATAGTGAAGTCTTTGCTGGACATTTAGAAGCTAGAAGAGACCCGTGAAGATCCGGGGTAGAATAGAATAGGTACAAATGTATTCAGCAACCCATGCTTGCCGTAAAAGGCGACTATGTTTGTCGTAAGAGGCGACTAACGGGTCGGGTGGTCAGGCTCGCTGATTTGGTTGATGCATGTCATCGATCCTAATTCTGTGGATCGATGCTCATGGCATCAATCACTGGATTGTCTGGTCCAGACTCGATTATTTACAGACCTCCGTCATATAACAGGAATATTGCCGAGTGCGGCGTTAAACATCAAACAAAAGAAAGAAGTTGGAAGAACGGGAATACATGAGACTTTTGTGGAGGACAACATTTTATTCGTTTAAACTTTTTTATGGACAGCAGCTTCTTATTCTTTGTAACTTTGTAATTTTTTTACAAACAAAAAAGAAGTTATTATCATGTATTCACGACCATTTGTGCATCTTTTGTTTGTAAATATTTTTGGTATGGAGAATAAAGATATGATCGGCTGTATTCCACTCTTGAACAGACTTGAGCTTAACCTATTTTTTCCCTTCTATCTGCCAAAAAAACTAGTATTTGTTTCTGATGAAGGTGAATATTTTGGCAAAAATACTCAGAAAACTCCGAGATTAACCTAGTGAATATAAGCCCTTGACGTGGGAACGATATGAAATAAACCACACCCATTGTGTTTGTTCCCATACCGTTTGTTCCATAAAAAATATATTTCGCAGTTGCACATTTGCAATGAATCAGTCAGCATGAATATCATTATTAATTATAATTTAATACATTTTGAGTTGGTTTCATATGTACAAGAACAACTATTATTTATGTGATTGTTCTCTGCATTCTGTTGTTGTGGATGTGTATCACGTCATCTGTTATATCATGACTTCATATCCCACCAGAATTACTTTTCCTAAGCGTGATGTGCTTCATATTGCATTGTGGTCGTATGCTGAGAGTATGTTAGTGTGTTTGAAGATGTTACTTAAGCAGTGTACATATTCACTTTGGACCTTATTCACGTTGGAGGTTATTTTAAAAATAATAACAATACTTTCATTTTGATTTACAGATGTTTATCACAGATATATTATAATTCTACTAATAAGGATCGGCTTACCAGATTCTGGGACCTGACTGATTGCGCGTCAATCTACCGAATGACGTGGATCGGTGCTCATGCTTTCAATCACTGTTTTTTGTATGGAATCGATTATTTACAACCTGTCGTGACCTACCAGAAATAAAGTCGACTGCGGCGTTAAACAACATTCTACCACCCGGAAATTGTAGATAGAAATGTAAAATGATACTTCATGTGTGTCTTTAAATGTTCAAAATATATATTTTATATACATATACGTATACAGCTGTTGACGCACTTGTTCAGTTACCGTAATGTGAATAAACTTTGACAATGTTACTCTGGAGGAGCAAGTTTATTGTTGTTTATTATGGCCGTAAAGATAAGGTAAAATGCAAACTCGTTAAAAGTTTGATCGTTATAATTACCCCTCAGTGTGAAGATCAGACGACACCCTAGAAGGTTGCGGCAGGTGCACACCCTGCGCAAAGTTTGACAGTGCAAGTGGTCGTTTTAAGTTCATTTTCAAGATACAGAAATTTGATATGCTGTTCTGAATGCTTTGCTCACCTCTTCGCTGACTGGCTTATTAGAAAGTTCAAGTTACAAATATGTAAGTATTAGTTGGCGATCATCTTAATGGCAGGTACACGTGCGGACAGCTGGGTTCGAAGCAGCAATGCATACCTATCATACATTTATGCACACCTGTGGACCTGTTAATCCAGAAGCCTCACCTTCCGGACACGGCAGCTGAAAAAGCTTACAGTTATTTATTATTTTATGAACAAACAGTTCGTACCCATGAATTTATAATCAGGACGACTTCAGGGTTAACGAAACAAGGAACAGAACAGAACTTTATTTGCATTCAGACTGTTTCCAAGGGAAAGCGAAGGTACATGTGTACAGACGTTGCCGTAAGGGCAAATAATACATGGACATTAATAATAAAAATCCAAAACAGTTACGACGAGGAATGTAATGCTACAAAACTTGTCTCATTTACACCGTTGGTATGGACAGCTGCTTTGAAATAAGTGACAAAATATGATTATGTTCGTCCTCCAGATATTTTGAATATATTGCATGAGTTTGAATGATCCGCGGTAAAATTGTCTTCAGCAACCCATACTTGCCGTAAAAGGCGACTATGCTTGTCGTAAGAGGCGACTAACGGGATCCGGCGGTTATGCTCGCTGACTTGGTTGATGCATGTCATCGATCCCAATTGCGTGGATCGATGCTCCTGATGTCAATCACTGGATTGTCTGGTCCAGAGTCGATTTTTTACAGACCGCCGTCATATAGCAAGAATATTGCTGAGTGTGGCGTTAAACAACAAACAAACCAACATGGGTTTTGACTAAATTAAAATTAATTAAATTTTGTTAAAGAAGAAGAAGTTGCATCCATGAGGCGTATTCTCTCTTGTTATGACACTTGGTCTGTTTTGTTTGTTTTCCACTTATCGTTTTACTCAGCAATATGCAAGCAATAAATAACCGCGTTTAGACAAGACAAACCAGCGATTGATTTTTATCACATGGAAGTGGAGAGAGTTAGTGAGTGAGTTGGGTTAAAGCCTCTTAGAACAATATTTCAGTTGTATGACGGCTAATGTAGAAGGAAAGCCCGACGTGTATTAGACGTTAACCGTGTTACCGGAAGATATTTGTTTCGTAAATTGAAAAAGTTGAAGAGTAGAATCACTACATTTGTGAAATAAACTCTCACTTATATTGTAAACTGTATAACTTTTTGAGTACACACATTTCGCATGAACGTTTGCATTTCGAGGCGCCATGTTTTCAGGTGCATTGGTGAGATGGCGCGACCTCGATTTTCGGTACTACACGCCTACCCCTACGTCAATCTTTGTCAGTTATCATGGTGTTTAGAACTATGAGTACTGTCATTCTTATTCTTTGGCTGAGTTTCTCACTTGTGTTTCTGATAGTTTCACTATTATTATACTTTTCATTCCTTACACACGTATGTACCGCAAGTATCCATATAATGGTAGCTGCTCAAATGCTGTTTATTTGTTCCCCGACCAGTGGATCCGTATGCATTCCAGTTATCATTCTCAACTCCCTGGGTAGTATACATCCCAAGCTGCCTTTCATCCACCTCATATATCAGGTACCCATTGCCTGCTGGGTGAACAGACGCACATTTCAAGTAAGTCACTTGCCCAGCACTTGTGTTTCGGGTGTATGAACGTTTTTAGGGTAAACAATGGCAGAGTGTGCTTGAACATGAATGCTACAAAGCTAAATAATGTTTTATGGAAGGAATATTTTGCCATATTGGAGATAGCTAGTGGCGTCGATGGGAAGGAGCTTAACGCCCATGGAGCTGCCTACGGCATTGATCGGGAATCTCATGACAGTCAGTATGCCATACTTTCCCCTTTACCTGGTGATAAGGATACGTATGCTTGTACTGTTGCTTCTTTGAATTCATACTTTATTCGTTGTATCAGAACGTTGTAGGTTTATATGTAGAGTACAGGGGTCTGATGAACCTATGGATGTCTTTTTGATAGAGTTATTTGAGCTCCTTATCATTGAGACATGCGAGTTTGGTGTTTCACACGACGAAATGCTTTGTGATCAGAAGTGTGTATCTAAGCACCTAATAGAGAAGTCTTGTTACAAGATTATCTTTCTTAGGAAACCACTATTAAAATGGTTCTATGTGGTGGCACTTGAAAATAATTTTATAGGAATTGCAGGCAGTTCAGTAGTCAATAGAGTGGATTCTAGCAACTCTATTGAGTCCTTAAACCCCTCACGGTAGCTGAAAGTGGCAAATTAAGACATTGTAGACAGGCTTCTAATTGATATTCGTGGCAAAATTCTAAGCCGTTTATCAAGGTCAGGTCAGGGGAGAAACACTGCGTAAAATTCATGAGCAAGGTGGAAGACAGAAATTACATTTAGTCTTTGTGGAAAGTTGTGACTCAGCTACAGATTTCTTTTCTGAAGATTGTGATAATTGGAATTAATTCGATTCAT